AGGTTCACTTCTTCATTTAGGTCTCTAACAATATTAGGGGTGGCAAAACGGGATGTGGCCCATTGGGCTGGCCCGTGCACCCCTTAAAAATGGCGGGTTGAGTTGAGATTTTGGGACCGTCGCCCACCAAAGCCCGCCCCGCTAAAGACATCCACTAGCCAAAGTCTGCCTCGTCAAAACTCGTCGTCCTCCAAAGCGCATCGCACATATTCGTTTAGTTTGTCCCACCTTAAATTCGTTCTTCTTAGTTAATTTTAGTAATTCTAATTCTTGATGGTTTTATTTTATACATTTATTTATAAATATATGTCATATTTTTTGAAGTATAATTTTTTAAAAAGATGCTTTATAAAAAATTGTTCTAAAAAATAAGTGAAAAACTTAATTGAAATGTAGAAACAAAACCTATTAATCTATTAAAAAATGAAAAATAAATAAATAAAAAAGTAGGAGGACAAGCGCAGCCCGCCACCTTGGCGGGGCGAGCTACATTTTTATGTCCATTTCCACTTGGCGGGTTTGTCCGCCCCGCTCTTTTTTTGGCGGGCTTAAGGTAGGGTGGGGCGGGACGGGGTGGGGCGGATAGCCCGTTTTGCCACCCCAAAACAATACCACCTCCTTAAGAATAAAATCAGAAAACTCATCCTTCATATATGCAGTATCTTCCCATTGTTACATCTTCAATGGCTTTGTTCTTCCACTGAATAAGGCTGTGAGGGACTAACACTCCTCCATGCACCATTACCCTTTGTGTCAATGACTTTCACAAGATAAATGTTCATCTCAGCAAATATACCTCGAGCTCCTTAGGTAACTCTCCTTCCATTTAATAATCACCAATAGCCTTTTCCAATAAGGGATACATAAAACACAATGAATTTTGGATTGTGCAAGAGGCTTCTGTGATCGGTGGGAATGAGAACTGACTGTTTTGGAATGTTGGTTCGCGTTTGCGTTTGTTTTTGCAAAATGTCGCGGTAAGCAAGAGTCGCCACCGTCTTTTATTTTATCCAACAAGGAAAGGACAAAAGCACAGAAAAATTCCTTTTCGAGATGTTTCTCGGGTTCGGGAGGTAGATTATAGAAAGGGAAGGTATTAGCACCCTTTCTATCAGTGGTTATCCACGGGCTCTTAGGTACTTGCTCACTATGTTTTCAAAAGTTTGCTTTTCTTTGTGTTTGTGGGTTTTGAAAAGAGTTTTTGTTTGAAACTTCGATTTAACTCTTGCTTCTGTCCTCAAGAGTGTAATGAAGTGTTTTGAAAACTTTGTTCGAAAAGTGTAAGTGTGAAAAGTTTTGTTTTGTTTTTAAGATGAGCAAGTACTTAAGAACCTCTACCTACTCAAAAAGGAATTAAACTGTGCAAGTGTCCTTTAGACAGTGCTATCCCACTATTGAGGAGTAGGTAGCACCGTCGTTGGAGTTTTCGGGTCAATTCGGTTTAAGAGACGTGTGGTCACTAAAGCAACGTTAGGATGCTTTAATGGTAATCATAATGTCTTAGATCATTTTTCCGAGGCAACCGTTTCGAGGCAACTTATGATCTTGGGACAAAAGGACGACCTCTAAAACATCCTATACTTAATGACCACGTTCGAGGCAACCAAGTGAGGTGTACCCTAAGAGTGGCATGTGCAAGTGTGTCAATTTTCAGTTATTTTATTCTTGCATGTCATGGTGAGCTACTGTTGATTTTAAGTTAAGAGTTAATCTTGTCATGCAATCCTAGTTAGCATACATCTAAGCAGTTAATATATGTACAAGAATTTAAAGTGCGGGAATTGTAAATCCTACGCTATTACAAGGCTTTCGGGGAGGGGGATTATTTACATGTCCAAAAATATTGGGGGAAATAAAAACAGTAAAGGGTCTTAGTTAAGCTATTACATCCCAATAGGCAATTACAATAAAATAAACGCGCGTAAAACAAGGAAAAGAGACGTCTAAGAGATTTCTAAGTAAATAAGAAAATCTTTTTGGTTGTTTTTTATTAAGAAGATATTTGAATTAAATACTCCTAAGTCTAGTTTATTTTAAATTGATAAAATGAAGTTAAAATAATTAATTAATTTGTTTACAAAATTAATTTGAATAAAAACTAACCTAATGTTTTTTTGTGATTTTTTTTTATTTTAATGTTAATTAAAAAAGATAAAAAGAAGTCTATGAAAATAAAAACAAAAAAAAATAAAGTGCAGGAGGGATCCTTCGATCCAAGGAAAAAAGGAGTTTCGACCCAGGGAGAGAATGGACTGCTTCGGTCCAGAGAGGGTCCTGGTCCTTTCGATTGGGCCAGACAGTAAGGCGTGAGTAGCCTTCGATCCAGGGAAGAGGATTTCCCTTCGATCATGGAGGTCATGGCTTTCGATCCAGGGATGAGATGCCTCTTTCGATCCAGCACGCTAATGGGTTCGATCCAGAGAAGGGCTCTCCTTCGATCTGGGATGTTATACCTGCAAAAGTATGTGAGCGAAACAAAAATTCAGGGCCTAGGTATTGAATCCCAGGCCCTTCGATCCTGCACTTGTTGGGGTCTCTTCAGGCTAAATCTGCAGCAAATGTTAGCACACGAAAAATGTGACCTGGGTGCCAAACCCAGGCCTTTCGATCCTGTCTAAGATGGCAAATCAAAGGTAACAATAAGTAATAATGTGTTTATGCAAATGTAAGGTTAGACAATTTACCCTTTCTTACCTGCAGATTGAGTCTTCGATTTGGACACTGGTTGGACGGGAGCACTTTCAATCTGGGATTTCTGGGCGCAAGCACTTTCGATCTGGGCACTTCTGGGTGCAGGCACTTTCGATTTGGGCACTTCCTGGATGTAGGAACTTTTGATTTGAGGGCTTCTGGGCGTAGGCACCTTCGATCTGAGGGACTGCTTTGGCTTGGAAAATTCTGGGCAGCGTCTCTCCAATGTTTTGTTCTCCTGCAGATTTTTTGTGTGTGTATAATTTTCGTTCTATGATTTTCGTGTGATTTTTCGTGTAATTTTCTGTGTGTTGTAATGTGTCACTGGCCTCCTATTTATAGGAGTGTGGGAGTGCACAAAAATGGCAAGGGACAGCCATTAAAATAGGCCTTTAACGCTCTGGACAAAAATCAAACACATTAAATCATTTCCTTTTTTGAAACATTCGTGTCCCTTGAATGAACCTGGACGCTTGGATTTTGAGTGCTTTCAGGCCATGCTCTTCGATTAGTCCTGATTTGCCTCTTTCGAAGGACATGGTTGACATGCCTGTCGAAATTGCCTTGACATAATTCCAATCGAATGCTTGTCCATAATGCCAATCGAAATACTCCTTCAGAATGCCAATCGAAGGATCTTTCAGGATGCCAATCGAAATGCTTGTCCAGAATGTCAATCGAAGTGTCTTTCAGGATGCCAATCGAAAGGTATTTGAAGTACCACTCAAAAATTTTCTTTTTCCTTAGGCAAGAGTTTGTGATCAACCAGGCAGGGGGAAGACTTTGGAAAACATGAGAGGGAAAATTTTGGGGTGCAACAGCTTCCATATATAAGCTACTTCTCCCATCCTTCATAAGATCTCAAATGGTTCATAAAATTATACAACAAGCTTCTAATTGATTTTCTTAACGACTAATTATTTCATGTGAGGTCTTAACTTAAGAAAAACCCATTCTCATATTGCTAAGAGAAAACCTCTTGTCTTTTTATCAACATATTTTTTCATCAGTTATTGAGCTTTTAGTAAATGGAGCTTTAATTAAGCTAAACCTTCATCCCTTTCACTCAATTCTAAAGCCACGCCAACTACTTATGTTTCATGGCTCTAAAATATTAGTAAATTAGGAGGTTGTCGGCCATAAACCACTTCAAAAGGTGTCTCGTAAATTGAGATATGGTACATAGTATTATACTAAAATTCTGCCCATGGAACCCTGTAAGACCATAATCTAGGTTTTAAAAGCAAACAACGAATATAAATCTCAAGAAATCGATTCATAACTTCGTTATTGCCATTTGTTCCAGGGTTATGAGTTGAACTCAACTTGAGTTGGATACCTTGCATCTTAAACAACTCCATACATAAATGACTTAAAATACAACACCCATTTGTTGAGATAATGCTTGTAGTGTTGTTTTCACTTCACCATATGTTTCTCCAAAGTGTCAATCCTATCCCCTTAGGTCGTTGTGGCATCTAGTGTCACTGAAAACTGGTATGATATTGATTTGTTGATGTTATAGTGAATTACAAAAATTACTAAGCACCAAGATAATAGTGAAAAGTTTACAATTGCATTGAAAATGATGAATAATTACAGAGAAAAGAAGATTAACTAACTCATTGAAAATGATGAACAATTACAAAGAAAAGAAGAGAAACTAACTTCTACAGTAGCGTGGGTTTTCTACTCAGATGTTACTTTTGAAACGATATCCCAAACACACTTAAAGAGATAAGAAATGCATCTGAGTTTCAAATTTTTTTATCAAAATACCAGGAAAAAATTCATCTTTTTACAAATCTATATTTTCTTATGCTAATACCAGTCTTAATTTTCTAATGATTTTGAGTTGGTCAATAATGATACTGCTACCGCTACTTTTCTGTTTGACGATCCAGACTTTACTTCACAATCCCAACAACCTACTTTATCTCCTAGAATCGTTACTAATACTCACCTTGTCCAAATGCCTTAATTCACCACAGCTAATTCCAAATACTAATGCCATCCATCAGCTTACAAAATCAACCAGAACTAAAAGAATCTTGCTTCCACAAAACTCTCAGCATACATTAAACTTGTATAATCTGAATTCATTTTCAAATTTCTATTAACTGGAGAGTTAACATTGATTTTCTAAAGTGATTAAATGGCTTTAACAAGTTAACCATAATAAGTTTTTGAAGAAAACTCGTGGTAAAAACTATGTTGACTATTACATTAAAAGGAATGACAATATCTGTAAGCTCATCTATCCCGGGATGATAATGCTTTCCAACCCGTTCTCGATCATCTTTCCTGGGATGATAGCGCTTTCCAACTCGTTCTCGCTCATCTTTCCCGGGATGATAACACTTTCCAACTTGTTCTCTAATTCATCATTCATCATCCTTCTATTTCACCCTCTATGGAAAATCCATCCCGGTGATTCAACTTTCTCCAAAATGTACGCTGAGAAGAAGCCGGATAAAGTGGATCCAAATGAGCTGAGGCTATCGAAATGGCCAAATTGTATGTTGTCGAATGAACCGTTGAGGGAGCCCTTTGTGATTGATAAGCTTGGGAATATCTTAAACAAGGAAGCGTTCGTGGAGGTTTTGTTAGGTAAGAAGCTTCCTAAGGAATTTGGGTATATTAAGGGTTTGAAGGAATTTTGGTATATTAAGAAATTTGGGTATATTAGAGCATCTTCAATGGGATAACTAATTTTGGTTGCTTGTGTCATATTTTGTGGTCTAAATTGCGGCATTGCATTTAAGCAATCTATAAGCAATTTCAACTATTTTTGCTCCAATGATAATTATAAATAAGCAACCTATATTTGACCCTACCAATTTACATTATTTTATTTATACAACATTTTAAATCTGTTAATTAATTAATTCAATTATAATTAATATATAAAAAGATGGTGAATTTAAAAAAAAACATAAATAACGAAAAATAAACTATATAATAATTAAAAAAATATAAAAATCATAATAATGAGAAATAAAATACAATTCTATCACTTTTAAATGTTGCAGTAAATATTAAAAAAAAAACAATGCATTTCATCTTTTAAATGTTTTTTTAAATGAAAATAGTAGTTATTTCAAAATGAAATTAAATGTTTCTTTTAATTTTTATTAACCAGTACATCAATTGCCAACCATCATGAATTAATTTTTAAATTGAATTAATTAAAAAATAATAATATTTCAATATTAAGTTCTCCACTTTTGAGATTGTTTGAGGAATATTCATTTCTTAATTTTAAGCAATCAATGTTGCCACATCAGCACACTCTAATGGTAAAAAAAAAAAAGAGCAACAAAACTTAAGGCTTAAGTAATCACTAAGTTCTCATCATTGAAGATGCTCTTAGGTAATAAGTTTATGTCGATTCCGCGTGAGGATGATGGGGCTAAGTTTCGGTGTCCGACTGCGGGGCTGGAGTTTAATAGAAAGTATAGGAAAGATGAAGAAGATGAAGAGGGGAAATGAAGAAAATGAATAATTTAGGGAATAATTGTCATTTTCATGGGTCACTTACACAAGTGGAATATACATTAAATGAAAAATGAAAAAATTCAATGGCATTTCTGATGATTTGGCATGATTAGGGGGTAAATTGAGAGAATCTTTAAAAGATAGGGTGGAAATCTCAATTTATTTTTACGGATTTTTTTTCAAATCTTGTCCAAATGGCTGGGGAAATTGGCTATTAATCCTAAAAATAATATATATATATATATATATATATATATATATATATATATATATATATATATATATGTATATATATATATATATATATATATATATATATATATATATATATATATATATATATATATATATATATATAGTGACAAGTATTTTTAAATAAAAATAAAATATTTTAGTTAATATTAAAATAAACAATTATAATAAGTTAGTTTAAAAATAAATAAATGATTAATCAAAGAAAAAGAAAAGTGTAGCTTCCACCGTCAACCAACCGAAAAACTGAATTAACAAATTTTGTACTTTCTTTCTAAAACAAAATAGTTGATTTGTTTCTTTTATTAAAGAAAGTGAACGTAGTAACGTCTCCTTTTTCTGTTTCTCCACTTCCTTCTAAACTGAACCTGTATCCCTCTTCCTTTTCACTTCTCTTCTTCAGGAGTTGCAAGCATATTTTTTTTTGGGGGGGGGGGGGGGGGGGGGATTTACTATGATCACTAGGAAAATGATAAAAGATTTGTTTTTGTTTCAAATGTGACTATGAACAGTTTTCGTACACTGTGCTACTCAAAATACTTTCTTTGAAATTCTACAAATATAGGATTTTTTATCATCAAAAGTGTCTGCTTGTTTCTTCGAAATTTTGTTTATTGTTATTATTTAGTTTAATACATTATTGTTAATCTTTGAAGTTTTGTTACTTACTATTTGAATTACTTGTAGTTGAATCCATCATATTAAATTTTATTTCTTTGAAAATTTGCTTCATGTTATTTCTCTAATACGGTTGAATATTGTTTCTTGTTGCAAAAAAAATAGAGATACCACAAGTACTTCCAGAATCGCAAATTATTGAGCATATTACGGACATTGATGCTCGACTATGCACCAACTATGGCACTGATGTGCATGAGAAAATGTGAACTGCTGAGGTAAATTCCTAACATTCGTGTGATTTTTCCATTTATGATAAATTAGGACTTTAATTGGCATTTAATTTTTTAGGTCTTAAAGAGGCCGGATCTAGAGTACATGCTAAGACAGACTGAGTTAGATCCAAGCATGCGTAAAGAGCTAAGACATACCGAGTTAGATCCAAGCATGCGTAAAGAGCTAATTGGATGGCTCATTGAGGTTTGAGTTGTTACTGCTTAATGCTTCTCTAGTTGTATATGTATATTGAGTAATAAATGTTGAATGTACCCTTATTGTGTTCAGATATATGATGCTTACAATTTACAGACCAGTACACTCTATATAGTTGTCACTCTCACTGACTCATTCCTCACCAAAAACAACGTTTCAGCATAACAACTCTAACTACTTGGAATAACCTGCCTCTTAGTCGCCTCGTGAGCCCTCATATACAAATAATTTCATATCGATTGAAATACGTAAAAGAATATAATTATAATCTTCTTTAATCATTCAGAGAAGATTGGAGGAAACGGTTCCATTCAAGGTTCAAGATTTATGCAGTCTCACAGATGGGTTCTGAACAGAAGCTCAGGTGGTGGAGGGTGAGTATATAATGTTGGAGTCTCTTGGCTATGAATTATGTGATCTAAATGCTGATTATTTTATCAGGTATTTGAAATTTTCATTTTTAGTAGTTTTTACTAAAATAGAAAAAACTTGAGTTTCATTAGGAGATACTAATTACTTATATTCTTTGTTTTGTTTCTCAGGAGATACATGAGAGCTGCTCATGCCTCTTATGAGGTAAAATAATTGTTGCAAGACTATGTTACTTTTAGTTTTTAAGTAATTACTTGTTTACAACTCACTGTGATTTCAAATAAACATATAGAAACCTTGAACTTAGACTTTGTTACAAAGTTCTTAGCTGAATTAACTATCAGACTATGGATTTTTGAAATATCTTCCCTCGAAGATAGCTGCTTCGTCAATTTTGCTTGTAAGATGGACTATCTTCCAAGCGCATCACCCTTGGAATAGGACACTCATATCCTATACCAAGTACAAAGCTTCAGAATTAAAAGAATCAGTTATTAAATTGCAGCAACTCCAAAAGAGTAGAGAAGGAAATGATTTTGCTAACAATCAGAATGACTACAGAGTGTATAGGGATTTCGTGTTGAACTCCATTGACATACCAGATGTTGTTTTCCTAGAATATAATATGATGTGAGAACTTGTTTTGTTCTATTCTTTTAGTTAGCTTACTAAACTTCTATCGTTTTAACCTCTATTGCTATATAAAGAAATAAGCATCAAAACAATATCTTTTTTTAGCAAATTTCAATTTTTTTTGAATATTTTTAAGTATAGACATTTGTTCATACTATATATAATATTCTCTGTGAGACTTTAACAAAAATGGTGTCTAATTAAGTGTGTCCATCATTTCTTTTCCAATTACATTCTATGTGAGTTTCTATATCTCATCATTAGTGATCACTTAGAAATAGTGCTCTACGATTTCTATTTGTGCTTGTGAAGTGCATGGATCAAAATTCTAGAATAATTAAGAGCATTGCTATGAATGCTTAATCAAGATATGACCATAATATTTTAGAGAAAATAACCGAGTGTTATGAAGAACTAGGTAGGGATGTCAACTTGTCTTCGTTAGCAGGGATTTCCGTGGAGATTCCCCATTTGGGGCCCCAAAGACCAGGAAATTTCCCCCCGCGAAGATGGGGATGGAGAACAAAGTCCTCCCGAAGGCACTTTGGGGACGGGGGTGGCGTAAATATCCTTCACCCCGTCTAAAGTAGCATAATATCCTTAATTTGTATATTATTTTAAATTATTATGAATCTTTATTTGTCATTTCATATAATTTATCTTATATGCAAATTTAAAATATATATGCATTGTTAGTAAAAGAGTGAGATCTAAATGATAATTTTAATTTTTTTAGTTTAAAATTTTTATGGTCATGACACTATATTATAGATTAAATATTGCTAAAACTATATATTTATCATAAAGGAATCATTTCTAAATTTTTTGTGGTTAGTTTTTGAATCTCTTACTATTAATTTGGTTTAAAATAATAAATAAAAATAATAATATTTATGGATCTCCGCATGAACCTTGGGGATCCGTGGGGACCCGCAGGGACGGGGACTGGGGACAAAATTTCCTCGTGGCGGGGACAAAATTCCTTCGTGGGCGGAGATTATGATGGGAATGTATCCCCGCCCGGCCCCGCCTCATTGACATCCCTAGAACTAGAACATACTATTTTGATTTGTCATAAAGCCAAGCCCACACAAGTTTCGGATTATATTTTGTTGTTAGGGGTGTTCAAATCCAAACCAATTCAATTAAAAATCGTAAATTGATCAAAAAAATCGAAAATCGAAAAAAACCAAAATTTATTAAATGTGTTTAGATGTTATTATGTGAAAATCGTTCGGTTCAGATCAAATTTCAGATTGACTTTTCAAAACCGATCTAAACCAAATTGAACTGCATATACATATATTTATACTTATTTATTTTTATTAGTATGATCAAATGAAACATATGTTCGTTACCTTTTAGGTAATTATCAATCCACGACTTGAGCTCTGAAACAAGAATAATAATTAACAGATTCAAATTCAAAATTGGCATTGTGTGTGTGTGTATTAATTGAAATGAAAAGAAACTTTGGTTATCGACGTCTTGGATTTCGACATCAGAGAAGAGTCTGAATCGAGAGTGAAATGAAACGGAGAGTGGTGCGGTGGAAAAGATTGTGAGTGAAGAGAGAAGCATTTCTCAGTAGACATCGTCACATTGTTCCTTCACTCTCTCTGGTTCGATTGAAATGCTGTGAGTGTCGTCACCAATATCGTGGATGGTGGTACATATTTTAAAACCTTATTTTATTTTGATTGAGTTTAAAATACTTGGTATTGTTTTATTTGAGTGTTGTAGTGCTTTATTTATTATTTTGGGAAATTAATGTATTTTAGTAGAATTATTATATTTTTAAATAATTAAAATAATAGAGAAAAAATTAGAAATTGTGTGTTGG